TGTGACACCCCCCGGCCCCCCCATCCTCCTCCCGAACCCCTTCTCCACCAGCTCCTCACCCTGTCACCCTCGCGGTCGCCACCGAGCGGAGCAGAGCTGAGGCATCGGTCTGGGAGAGACCTTGGCCTCGGCCAATGAGCCGGGCACCCCTTATCGGCTCACCGTGCAGAAGCGGGAGCCCATGGAGGTGAAGATCGCCTCGCTGGGGAGCTTCTCCAGGGGCTTAGAGGAGCCGGAAAGGGAGGTGTATCCCGGGAAGATGGAGGGGAGGTGTAGTGTTGTGAGTTTGAGGTAGGCCACAAAAATATGATGTTAAATTATTTTCTTTTATGATTTTGTTATGTTTTTTTTTTACGTTTTCCTTATGATTTGGTTACGATTGACTTTATGAAATTTTATGATTTTTTGGTGGGTTTGTTTTTGGATATGATTTGCTTATGGTTTCGTTATGCTCTTTGAGGTCTGCAATTTCACATATACAGAGCCTTTTGGGTTGCAAAACATGGTAGTTGAGATGTGTGTTCAGCCAAACTTGTGGTGTATTTTCACAAGATTTCCTCTGCTTGTATTTTCAGAAAAACCTGGCAAACTGCGAAAAATCTTTGTTGTTCTGCAAGTCTCTTGGTCCGTTTTCTGGTTGGTTTTAAATGCAACTAAAAACTACTCAGGAATAGAATAGTCTCTATTGTATGATGGGTTTTGAGAACTAACTGGTGACTAGTGACTAGTGTTCCCAAAGGAACCTCTTCACTAATGAAGGCAGAGAGGAGTTGGCCTTCATACATGAGTTCACACCTTTCCTAGGACAGCACACCTGGGTCTAGTACACACCTTGGCCTAGGGCCTAGGACAGTAGGTTCTATACTAGGCCCTAGGCCCTAAACTACCCATCCACCCATGGCCTGGGACCTGGGAACTGCAAGCAATCCATATCTCAGAACCATTGGTCGTCTGAAAGCGTAACAAAAACATAAGAAATCCATAAGGCCCTGCATAACGAAATCATATCAAAATCATATCAAAATCATATCAAAATCATAAAAACATGGGTCTGGGAATTAGTTTTATGATTTTGTTATGATTTTGATATGATTTTGTTTATGATTTTGTTATGATTTTGTTATGGTTTTGATATGGTGGGCCGCAGGTGGTCTCACCCTGCCTGGGTCACCTCAAAAAATTTGACGCTTGAGGTTTAGGGCTTAGGGTTCAGGCTTTAACCTTTGGCCTAGGGCCTAGGACACGCCTGGGGGAGTACACCTTTCCTTCGGGTCACTAGGACAGTACACCTTTCCTTCTCTACTACACACCGTTCCTTCGGGTCCTAGGCAGAAGGATGTGTAAGGCAATAGCTCAATAGCTACTAATAAGCTAATCAACAGAAAGGACGCCAAGCGTCCCTACGTTGCTTGGGCATGAGCTTTGGGGTGCCTCCTTGGAATGTTCAACAACTTCCCTTCGCTGGTGAAGCTTACTTACTTAGTTTCTTAACCAAACCACTATTTTTCAAGTATGCAAACATATTCGCACCATATTTTCACAATTATATGGCGATCTTTTTGAAGTACTCAAAAAACACTCTCAAACCATATCTTTTTCATAATACTTTTTGGTGGCAGTTTAAAACCATAAGAAAATCATAAACATTTTCATATCAAATTCAAGGGCTCCTTAACACGCATAAAAAAACCATAAAACAAACATAACCCACAGTGTATCAAAATCATAACAAAATCATAACATAATCGCAAAAGAAAATAATCAATGAAATATTTTTTTGGCACTAACCTCAAACTCACAAGTGTAGTGAATGTGCCGGAGGAGAGGTGACCAGTTCGGAGGTTGACCTGCAGGCCCACCTTTTTCGGGAGAAGGTCACACGATGTCCCACGTCAATTGAAGACAGGAACGGGTGGAACCTAAGGCCCTGTTTATCGGTCTTTCCGGGGAAGCTACTAGAACTTAGAATGATTTGGGTTTGTGCTTGTTCCAGTTTTTTTCTGCCGTGATCGCTTGGCCCTGTGGTATATCCTCCCACCCGATTTGGAATGCGTTCCACCGCCGCCGTGCAGGACTTGCCTGATGGCCTGCAACACGTGCGGGTGGACTACTCCAAGGAATGGCACCCAGCTCGGGTTCGATTGCATAGACAGTGGTTGCAGTATGTTGCATAAATCATGTGGCGCAAGGGTTTCTTTACAAAGGAACTGGCGCCATTCAGAAGCAAATGGAAATCTGCCTACTATAGGCAACATGAGGCAACTCCACTGGTGAAGTTTTAGCCAAGTGTGCGGCCAAATTGGCGATCACCGAAGAACGTTTCGGAAGACGTACGAACAGACGGGACTGACTCTTGGGATCTCCTGCCTGCCGATCTGCCTGGCAGGAACAGCTGAGCACCAACCGAGACTACTTGACTTCGATGGCTCGCGACATCGCCAAGGTGGCCGTGGGCATCGAGCAAGGCGGTCCACGCCGGGAGCGCACACGCGGGAAGAACGCGGGAAGAAACGTGCGAAACGTCCACGGTGGGCGTGTTGGGCGTTGTTGGGAAAGGCGATGTTGGGCGTGTTGGACGTGGGAAGTGGTGAGCGGTGGTGAGGTCCGAGAGACGGGCACCCAGAAGATTCCCAAATCAATGAGATTCAACTCGAGCAGATTCGTATCCCAGACACTCTATGTATGACATCGTACTGTTTGGCTACAGTATCTGGCTACATTGGGGTGGTTTCAGGGGTCAATGTAGGCATATACGTCATACATGGAGTGTCTGGGTATTTGTCTAGATTTAATATTAGACCTTATAAGGCTTAGGACAGATGTGGGAAGTGTCCAGCCGCCTGGCCCACATCCCCGCAAAAAAAAGGTCGCCTCGCGGTGTTGCTGACCATTTGTGTAATGTTTCTTTTGCTTGCACTGCAAGCTTGTCCAATTTAAGAACAGGATCGAAGAGCCGAAGAGGGTCGGTTTTTCTCCTCATCCAGCATGGTCCAGCCACTGATGTTGTCACCGCAGCCATGCGGAGGTTATGGAACTGGTATGGACATGGAGGGTGTGGTGCTTGAGTCAGGGGGCCGTCGAGAGATTCACTTAGTGCAAGCCAGGCCAATCGTGGGCCCCTAGGGCCCTTAAGGTGGGCACTGAGATGCCAGATTTGCTTGGAGCAAACTGACTTGGAGGAGTTGCTCCTTCAAATGACTGATGGTCTGATGGCTTAACTCCCAACCAGACCTGCCTACATGACACCTCTAGATGGGCACCTTCTTGGAATTCTGATCAGCCCCACTCAACTTGGAGGGATATGCACTGGCACAACTCCACATTCACATATCCACATTCATTCGGTCATTCTTCAAGGTGCTGGGCTGAGATAAATGTGATGTTATTTTCATTCGATTGTGGATGTGCACTAAATACGGAGACCTCCCAGTTCGACCCCCTGGAAGAAGGAAGGGGGGTCCCTATGTAAAGGCACACCCAAGTGTTAATCAACCATGGTGGTTCATGAAGTGAAGAGTTCAATGCAGAAGACCTCTCTAGGAACCGCAGGTGTCATTCTTTTTGTTGGAATGCATTGTGGATGTCCAAGATTTCCTTGGCAAAATGGCTTGCACGGCCAATGATTTTCGGAAGGCACGAATTAGAAATGGACGCTCTCAGAGGCTCCAGTGCCAGATCTTTTGGAAGAACTCCCGCTTGGGAAGTGTTGCCGGCTACGCTGACTCGCAGAAATACCGTCAGCCACGGCAAATCGGTTCCATTTGAAGAACTTCTCCTGGTGGTGTATAGAATCTCAGGCCAGTGCCGCCTTGAGTTGTGTCTTTACATGTCATTACCAAAGATTGAAGCAATGATGGCCGCAGTTCTAGCACCAGAACACTTTGCACCTGATAAGTTTTAGTTCAGGCTCAGAGCAGATTCTCCTACATCTCTTTGCAGGCTCTTTATCTAAAAAATCTAAAAGGAACCATCGAGTTTTCTCCCTTTTGTTGATCACAGGATGCAGACGGCTCAAGACACTGCTCAATTGACGGCAGAGTGCCCTCGCCACGACTTAAAGCTCCCAGGTGTGGAATCCCTGTGGCCGCCCCAGCTTTAAGAGCTCCTTTTTTGAGGGAGAAGCTGTGGAGCAGACGGAGCAGAACGCACGATCTTGCAAGAGACTGGAGCACCAAATAACGAAAATCACTGAGATTGTCACCGACTCGTTGAACTTCCAGACACTCCATGTTTCTTTTGGTTCAATCCTTTCCTGTGGCCCAAAAGGCAATGAGCTCATCCAAAACAGTAAAGTAAAGGCATCTACAAGTTTTGTTTGACTCTTCTTGACGACTCACGGCTCCCTCACAGATGGACTCAGCTGCTGCTGCTCGGATTCGGCGAAGCAAAATACCGGGCAGTGGCTATGAAGAAGCAAGTGTGGCTATGTTTGTTGCAAGCAGCCCATGATACACTGCAGGGTTAGTTCAACCGGAGTAGATCCACAAGATCTAGAACAAATCTTGATGAACATGAATGAACTGTTGATTTCCACGTCTCTACCGGTCTTTATCATCGATGGACTTTGTGGAGCCGTAGGCACCATGTGAGGAAGACCCAGCCACCTTCAAACAAGAACACATCGAACAACTAAGTCACCGCCATCACCGCCAGCCACCACGAGCGACAGGAGACTTGGAGAGGTTTTTGAAGATGAAAGTGTCAGCCACCTTGTTGTTTGACCCAACTTCAGTGTTCCAAAACAATGGAGGCACATAGATGCGCTAGATATCAGGAGAGAGACGCACCTGCTAGAATTTCGATGGTCTAGACGTCTTTACTGCACCAGCAGTTCCAAAGGAGGGGTGCTTCTTGGAGGTTTTCTTTTTTCGGGGGTGCTCCATCTACGCACCTTGGCGTCTAAAGACACCATCCTGGCACTTCAGGCCGTGGTGCTGGTTTCAAGGGCCCACGGCTCGTCCCAACCCTCCCAACCGCCCCAACGGCAAGACGCCCCCGAGGCCGTGTGAATCCGGAGCACTTCCGCGCGGGCCGCGTGGGCGGCGGGAGCCCAGAACGTGGCAGCAGCGGTCCGTGGGACAGTGCCGAATCTGATCCAAACGGTCGAGAGGACCCTTGGGGGGGTGGAGATTGGTTGGGCACGATGCCGATTTGGAGGCGCCACACTGGGGTCGGTTTCGGTGGTCGGAGCGTGTTTGATTGGGGATGGCGAAGGCTAGTGCTTGTGAATAATTAATTCAATCGTTTCATTGGCAATGGGACAGGAATTCCACAAAGATTGGTCAGATCCTGATGTCGGGTCGGATGTCCTTGCCTCTGACATCAGCATGAGGATGTGAACCGATGGGTTTGACGTTGAGTATGAGAATAAACAGGCAGATGGGACAAAGAAACACAGAGGTATACGGTATACAAGTATATAGGTATTATTATATAGCAATTTTGGGTGAGCACCATAATTGTCAATCATAATTACTGTGCCTGTAAGGAGAGACATTGAACAAATTGCTATCATTTGACAGAAGTCACTTTGGAGAAGCTTTAGAGCTGGTGCCTTAGCCCGAGGAACCATTTCTGAAAACACAACTGGGGGCAACCTAATCGATCATGCTTTGCATCATCGAGGGATGGCTCAGGAATAGATCATCACAAATCACGATTATCATGAGCCACGAGATGGCCTCGACAAGCTCTATGCGGACTAGACACGGCTTCACGGTGTCTCATGGTCAAGCTTAGCTTCGCTCACTATGAGACACCGTATAAGCAGAGCGCCCTTTGAGTCATTAAAAAGGAAGATCCCAGCCAGCCATCAATAGCGACCCCACTCCAAACATGGCCTTTGGGACTGGGATGTGTGTGTGTGTGTGTGTCGAACAATTGTCCAAGCTTGTCTATGCCTGCCCAATATTGCCCAATATAAATCAAAAAGATCAAATCGACTGAAAGATGCGTTTAGAAGACGATCGTGATCGAACATATACAGATATGCTAAGTCTTAAGGGCTTCCTTAGGAACATTGCTGTACACCCGCTGGCGCCTGCTGTGGTACATGCACATCGTGTGTCACCATGGGCGAGCCACCTGTGGTACCTTGGCAGTGGATGTCAAGCGGGGCTGGCCCGACACAGATGACACATGATGACCCTTGGTGTCTAGATGCTCATCCAACATGTCGAAAAGCTTGGAGAAGCTCCTTACAGTGACCGGAAGTTCACCAAGCAATAGCTGAACCTGGAGCTTCATTTGGTACAGAAAACTTGCAAACCAGGTTTGGGGACACAAGTAATGTAACCGAACACAATTCCTATGAGGGACTCGATTTGAGCACCTTTGTTTGTTGCATGACATTTTCACAGATTGGCTGGTTTTCACCAGATGACACAGTGTGTACGTGTGTTCAAGGCCTAGTGTCTATCTACAAAGAGGGTCAAGATGTTTCAACAAGCGCACAGGGGCTACCCGTGAATCAGCAGTACCTTAATTAAGACCAATTTGGGGGATACCTCGCGATTCTTGACCACGCAATTGGATAGAAAGGACATGCAGCACGTTTCGAGAAGATTCAAAGAGACCACCTAATTGGCCAGAACCGGCCGATCGCCGTGCTGATCCCAGACCATCAAGGACCAGTTTCGTCACTTTTTCTTGTGAAAGCACCCCAGTTCAATTTCCTGCGCTTTTTGTTTTTCAACCCGAAGAGCTTCAGTTTGTGTTGAAGAACATTTTGGCTACTAAATGCTTGGAATGAATCCCAAATTTACTTGGAAAGTGATCCAACTGGGAGACATGGCCATGGAAGGATCGGATCTGCGCAAGAGGTGCCTCAGGAGTTCCTGGCTGCGAGCCATTTCAAGATGGGTCAAAACCAGCCCTGGTCCACCATGTAGCCCCCAAAAAAAATAACCTTCCAGGGAGGTCAACAAATGTATGTAGCTTGGTTTTGACCCACAGCCATTTCAATTGTTCATGTGTCTTCACCATTTGGAAACATGTCTTTTCGCCATTTCTCAATAAGCCTCTCAGTGATGTTCAGGCCACTCAAGCAGCCGTTGACTCCGTTAACCGTGTGGTTTTTTTTCCCTTCAGGTTGCGCTCATCGGCATGAGGGGAGAGTCTTGGCGGATGGTGCGATGAGCGTCACGTCGAATTTTTTGTCGGATGACCCACACAGAGCAGCATCATGAAACAATAAAGCGGAAGAAAGGAAACAACAAAAAATAACGAACAAAACAATAATACGTCTTTCTTTTTGTTTGTGAAACAGGAATTCCAAAGTGGTTCTATAAGCATCACATCTTTTGTGCTGGCCGTTTTTTTTCACTCGTTGTCTTTGTAAAGGCCAAGTACACGGCCCGGCGAGTGAAAAAGATTGCATGTGATATTGAATCTTGAGCCAAAATGCCATATTTTCACTCTGAGTACACGGCCCAGCCAGTGGTTTTTCTTAGCTTCTTAGAGCCCAAAAGTGTCCAGCTCCCCAGGCGCTGCCTGCTCCCTTCTTCCGAGGCGGGGAAGACCACGCTCGGCAGGGGCGTCGCGCAGCTGCTGGGCTTCGACTTTGAGGACTTGGACGAGGTGTGGAAGTGAAAGCGGAAGCGAAGAAGCTGATGGGCTGATGGGCTGTGGGTGGAAAGAGACCGAAGAGTCTTCGCAGAGGGAAGAAAGGATGTTGGGCTGGGAAGAGGGATCTGGTTTTGGGGTAGAGAAGTGGGAGAGAAAGAGGCTGGTGATGTTGATTAGGACGGGTTCGAGGATGTTTAACAAGGAGGATGTTGGTTGTTCTTGTGTCGTGTGCCGTGTGTGTTCATCGTTCTCATGGGTAAGCTAGGTGCGAAGCTCGCTACCAGGGACCACTGTTGACCTGGGTGCTAGAGTGTGACATAACAGAGACGCCCGAGCCAAGAAGTCGCCTGAGAATGCCTGAGCTCTGATTGTTTAGTGAAGTGCACCACCCCCTGCTCACACATCAATGATTCATCAATGCCTATAGGAATTTCAATGAAGAGTAATGAAGTATAGAATTAGAACGTCATGCATATATACGTGCATACATAGAACGTCCTCAGAACGTCTTATTTACATAGTAATGCAATATGTATGTGCATTTTGTTTGTAGACACATTACTTCTCTTCCGATGTCTTACCCTGTGTCAGGCCATGGCAGCCGCCTCCGGTGGCAAGCTGCCACCGCAGATCGTGGCGGAATCAGGCGAGGCTGGTGGGACCGATTCCGTGGCGTTCCGTTGTTTGGTGCCCTCCTCTCCCGGCGGTCGGTTTCATGGCTGATTTTCGGAAGACCTGGCAGCCAGGCCTCTCAGAATCCCGAAAAGCGGCTGCTCGTTTTTGTTATGTATTTGTAAACACTGGTTCTCAGGGTCCATATTGTTCAAGGGGGCAGTGCGAAGGTGAAGTGATGCCCTCACAGGACTTGCAGAAAGCCGGTGCGCAGAAACAAAAGGTTCATGTTAGTTTGCAGGTGGGTAGTTAGTTTGCATGATGCCAGGTAGGAGGTTGGGATACCTCTTGGTACATTTTTTGAGCAACAGCAACAGGTTCCTTTTCTAGGATTTCTAGGGATCCAGTCACACCTTCTCAGAAGGTTTGACTGGATCCTCCAAACCTACATAACAGTGTCTCCAATCACCTTCTGAGAAGGTACTTGGAACCCTAGGGAAGACATGCCGGAAGACAGTGCCTTTTTGCTTTGGAAGCATACTGGATCCGGCACCACACCAGCGGCACCAGCGGCAGGCTGGGAGGCTTTTCGAACCTTGGAAGGTGACACTTTCGCGGCAGCGGCGCGCGCGCAAGGAGTGGCGAAGGCCGGGCTTCAACTTGGTGAGAGCTTGTGATTCAGATGGGTTTTGTGATGCTTTGTGTATCAGAACTTGGTAAACAAGTCGTCTGGCAGGCTAGTGTATTAAACCACCCGGATCCATCCGAATCCCACGTTCCAGGCCCATCACATTCTATGTGATGACCGGCCCATCTAAAACCTACGGTATCTCCCCAACCCCAAAAGCCTCCCCCTGCGCATCGTGCGCAGTAGACTTGGTCTCGTGCGCAGTGGGCATCACAGCGGACAGGTCATCGCCACAGGGGGCGGCATCATCGAGACGGAGCGTGGCTTAGGGCTGCTGCGGAGCCACCGCCCGGTGGATCGGATGTGGGATCGAGAGGGGAGAGTTGGATAGGGAGGACTGGGCGGATGGATGGATTGGATGATAAATTGGATTGGATGGACGGAGTACTTCGGCTGATCTTTGCTTTTTTGCTTGGTGGAGATCATTGGTGCTGTAGAATCAGATGTTGCTTCGGCATGTCGCACCAACAGGAAGATGTTGGGACTGGTTTGGATGCATGTCGGCATGTGTGAGCCGAACGTTGGTGATGTCATGGCTCCCAAAGGCTCGGATGACCATCACTTCCTCTAGTTGGTGGGGAACTTCACTTCGACCATTTGGAGTTTCAGAGGCGTTCAGAGGTGGCATTGTCCAGGGGTTGGGTGGTTCTATGCCGAAGGCCGTGGGTCCTTTGTTCAGTAAGAGAACAGGCATGAAAGAGAGTGATTTTCGCATGTCCGTTTTGCACTCTGTCAAACGATAAGGCACGAAAGACGCAATATCCCCAGATAAGGATTCAATGTGTTCTTTGCTGGGTTTGAACCAGGCACGAAAACGATAACAAAGCGATAATAATAAGGGAAACATGACGACGATCACGCAGCGAGCCTAAACCACCTTCCCGTAGACAGGTCCACGCATGTGATATCCGTGGACAGTAAAAGCGGAGGACATGATGTTTGGTGAGTTGCTAGTTGAGTTGCTAGTTGAGGCTTGGAACGCATGGACTTCGATTCTCCGACCTTTGCAGTTGTGCAGTGGCCTTGGGTTCATCCACCGACCGGCCTTGGAGCTTCACGTGTTCTCATGGCCGATCCGTCTCCAGATCGGCGGCATCGGGTGGTCCTTAGGTGATCTTCATCGATCGCCACATCGACGATGTGATGGCGACCCTGGAGTCGCTCGTGAGGGAG